TGCTATTCTGTCCCAGAATGGGATCAAGTAAAATACTACCTGCAAGCCAGTGGACCAAGAAACAGTCCATCTCGGGCCATTAGTGAGAAGAGTCGTACTATAAAAAGTAGCCCCAGATGCAGGATGGGATGGGGCTCCTGGTGTGGCTCTGGAGGGTAAGCACTGGACGGTTAACCTCAAGATCAGTGGTTAAAACCCACCAGCTGCTCCTCGGAAACCCTATTCAGAGTTGCTATAATTGTTAAATTGCACTTAACAACAACCAGTGATGGAAACCCTGGGGTCAAGGAACTAATGTAAAAATTGGTCCTAAACTGGAGAAACCTATAGGATCCTAGAAGAAGCAAAGATACCACTCAAGCTGCTGTATCTGTGCAGAATTCCAACAGAAGACAATAACCACTGAAGATGGACTCACAGACAAAGATGACAAAGGATGGAAAGAAACCTACTGTTGTGAGAATTTTGACCTCTTGGGTACTAAAGGATCCTGTGGTATGCTGCCTTGGTTCCCAATCCTACTTCAGGAATGAGGCACTCATTCTCTTGTTGTGGGAGTATGTTCCATCTCCCTGATGTGCTTTTTTTCTCTGTCTCTTTCTTTGCACTTAACTGATGCCTGTACAGCCATCAGGATTCAGATGCAAGGTCACCTGCTCAGCCCTCACTCTCCAAGTTTAGGCCTCCTGCCACCCCTATCTTCTCTCTCCTTGCGCTAATCACTGTCATAGTGATAGTGGTTTCTCAACTCATACATTTTCCACCTTTTAATTATTATGAAACTAGTAAATGTCTTCTAATGAGTCGTGACTCACAATGCTAATGGTGCAATTTGCCAATAGTGGATTTTTAGATTTGAAAAACGTGAGCCAAAATTTTCTGTAAACAGATATTCCATGTATGTCTCTCCCACTGGAGTTTAAGTGCAGGAGAACAGGGACTTATGATTTTCTTGTTCACCGGTATTCATAGCACCTACAGCAGGTTCAGGCATGCTCAGTATTTGTGGGCTGAATGAATGGACAAGAAAGTTAAAGTAGGATTTAGTTTTATGGATTCTGAAATTGCTTCTTTCAATGTCTTAATTGTCCAGGATTTGATGAGTTCAAGACTTGGAGAATTTATCCTTTTTTCCTAATCTGTCTTTATACCAAAGAGATTTTACTAGCTCAAGATTACTCTTCATGCAGAAACCATTGTACCTTTTAGATAATTTCTTAGGTAGCCATCTCTGGACCTTTTGCAGTGGTCTGTTTTGTCTTTCTTGAGTTGAAACAAATTGGTGTTTTCTGATTTCTTATCCCCTTTCTAATCATCTCCTGTGTTTTGTTAATAGTTAGATTGTTATGACCAATGAGGCTGATATTTAAGAAGAATAATCTTTCATTTCTTTAAAAGTCTTGCTTTTCAAGCCTCTGGAATCATGTAGAAGTTCTACTGATCATTTGAAGATCAAACATGGTTGCTTTTGTGAAAATAATTGGCTCCTATTCTTGCTTTTTCTTCTCTCTAAATTATATGCTCATTTTCTTTTAGTGGATTAAATTTCTTCAAGTAGAGTAAAGGATGATGGCAGCACTAGACTCCATAGTGCAAGTGTTGTTACCTATAGCTGAAAAATGTATTTGTTGTGTGGTGTCTTAGGGAAGAAAACAATCAAAATGATTTTACTCCAACCATCCCTGTTCATTTGGCCTAAATGCAACTATTGTCCCCATATCCACCTATCTGAATTGTTATAAACATTTGTATGTCTTTTTTTCTTCATTACCATTTTGACATTGATCACTAAACTTACAAAAAATCTTTGACTTGCAAAGTCTTTCATTCAATCCCAAATTTATATGTAATTTAGTAATTAGTAATGTGTGACAGACCCTTTGCTAGATGACTTTCCAGGAGCACAGGGGAAGAATCACAATCTACAGCCTATATTTAGAGTAAAATTCCTAATATTTTCCCCTAAGGATATTTGAGTTCTCATCTCAACAGTGAAGCTCTAACTAGTTTTCCTTCTGGTAGCATAGTGGTTACGAATTGGGCTGGGAACCACAAGGTCCGTAGTTCGAAACTACCAGCTGTTCTGCAACAGAAAGATGAGGTGCTCTGCTCCTGTAAAGATTTATAGCCTCAGAAACCCTGTATAGGGTCACTATGAGTTGGAACCGATTCCATGGCACACAGCCACTCCTACCATGCATGTTGGTGACATCTTCATTCTCCAGTAAATTTCCATCCAGCATTCCTTCCTGATAATCTGTCATTTTCTTCCAAAAAGAGCTTAGGGTCACCTGAAAACATATAGGTTTCTCTATGTTTGCCTTTTCTGGATTAGTTACAAAGGGATAAACAGGGTGCTGTCCTGATCTCTCACTATGCTACTATTCTTATATTTTGTTTAAAAAGTGCCCAAACATGATAAAAGATTCCTCCTTATCTTTCATTACAATTAATGGGAAATAAAATGCTTTTTGAGAGTCTGAAAAAATGTCCTCAAATAGTATATTTATTATATACTTATTCTCCAAAAGTCAAACTTATGCAAATTTATCTATAATGTACTGCTAATCTCAAGGTCAGCAGTTTAAAACTACCAGCTGTTCCACAGGAGAAAGATGAGGCTTTCTGCTCCCATAAAGATTTACAGCTTCAGAAATCCTATGCAGGGTCACTATGAGTTGGAACCAACTCCACGGCACACCACTTCCACCACCGTATATGTATATGGAATCCTGGAGTGGCACTGTGGGTTAATGTGTTGGACTGCAAAGTTGGTTCAATTGTAAGGTCTGCAGTTCAAGCTCACCTGTTCCTCAGAAATCTTATACAGGGTTGCTATGAGTCAGAATTGACTCAACAACATCTAACTACAACAACAGATTATGCATAAATGTGCATCCAGTTCCTGTCAAATTGTCTCCAAATCATGGAAACCACATGTGTGCCAGAATAGAAGTATGCTTCATAGCATTTTCCATGGCTGAGTTTTCTGAAGTAGTTTGCCAGACCTTTTTCCTGAGGTACCCTCTGGGTAGACTTGAGCCAGCCTTTTAGTTAACATTGAGTGATTGAACTGTTTGTATTCTCCAGGGACTGTGTATACTCATATACACATATAATTGTATATTTGTTTGTATATATGTTATTTAAGGAGCTCTGGTAGCGTAGTGGTTATGAATCGGGTTGCTAACCTCAAGGTAAACAGTTTGAAACTACCAGTCATTCCTCTGAGAAAGATGAGGTTTTCTGCTCCTGTAAAGATTTACAGCCTCGCAAACCCTAAACAAAGGAGCTCTGGTAGCGCAGTGGTTATGAGTTCAGCAGTTCAAAACTATCTGCTGTTCTGCAGGAGAAAGATGAGGTTTTCTGCTCCCATAATGATTTATAGTCTCGGAGACCCTATTCAGATGCACTGTGAGTCAGCATAGACTCCACAGTCTGCCCCCACCATCACCACCACTCTTGGAAACCCTATATAGACTCGCTATGAGTCAGAACCAACTTGACGACAATAACAAGTCAACAAATATATTGGATGTCAAGTTAAGTCTGACTCATAGCAATCCTCTGTAGGGTTCCTAAGACTGTAAATCTTTTAAGGGAGCAGACAGACTCATCTTTCTCCCATGGAGTGACTAGTGGGTTTGAATTGCCAACCTTGCAATTAATGTCCAGCCTAACAGTGCCACCAAGGCTTCCCATATATATGTATATATAGGTATGTATGTATATATATAGGAGTTCTGGTATGGCACTGTGGGTTAATGTGCTGGACTGCAAAGTCGTTTGAACCACAAGGTTGGTGGTTCAAGCTCACCAGCTGCTCCTCGGAAACCAGAAACAGGGTCACTATGGATCAGAACCAACTCGACAGCACACAACAATAACATGTATCTATATGTGTGTGTGGGACTCCTAGTGTGGTGCAGTAAGATCAGCACTGGACTGCAAATCACAACATTCGCAGTTCAAATCCACCAGCTGCTCTTTGGAAACCCTATTCAGGGTTGCTATGAGTTGGAACCAACTTGACTGCACTTAACAACAACATGCGTGTGTACCTGTATATACACACACACATATATGTAAGTATATATAAGGGAGTGGAGTCCTGGTGTGCACTGTGGGATAATGCACCAAACTGCAAGTTCAGTTTGAACCACCAGGATGGCAGTTCAAATTCACCAGTGCTCCTCGGAAACCTTATACAGGGTCTCTATGAGTCAGAACCGACTCAACGACACTTAACAAGAACAAACAAATATGAAGGTGTGCGGTGGCTCCATATGATAAGCATTGGACTGCAAACCACAAGGTCAATCAATAGTTCCAGCCTGCCACCCAATCCACAGGAGAAAGGTGAGGCTTTCTGTTCCCTTGAAGATGGAAAACCTCAGAAATCCTGTATAGGGTTGCTATAAGTCTGTTTCCTAAAAGCAAAGTCTTTTTATTGATTTATGTTTTTGGACTTTTAATTCCCTCTGAGGTCTGTCCATCCTCATCCCCCCTATTCCCACAGTGTCCAGAACCCATCCCCTCCTTGGTCAGCCTGTCTCCTTCATCATTTCACTATCGTGCCAGGTGTCTTTCCTATCCTGTTCTCCTCATCTCTGCAGCCAGCTTTTCTTGAATACGTGTTGTTGCTGGCACCTTCTGGGGGAGATCCACCCTGTTTATTCTCCCATTGCTGTTTCTCCATCTGAAGGTCTTCCAAACCCAAGGTGCAATGTGCAGCCTCCTTATGGAGTCTTGCACGTCTCAAGTCTTAGGTGAACTCAGGGAGGGCAAAGATCATGTTAGATCAATCCTAATGCCAAATAGATAGGCATTGAATGACATATTAATTTCTGATAATAATCATCAAGCTGTCTTTTAGGTCCAGAAAAACAAGTTTTAAAAATGTTGATTTATAGGATTTTTTTTTATATATAATGCATGTTGCTCTTCTTATTTGAAGGGCGAGTAAAACTGATCTTCTAAAAATATTGCTGTTTTCCTAGTAAATGTCCCTTCAACGGTAATGGAAGCCATGTGCAGACAAGACGCCCTGCAGCCCTACAACAAGAGCAGCAAACTCTCCCCATCCACCCAGCAGCGCTCCATCGTTTTCCCACAGACTCAGTGCAGCAGGAACTTCTCTCTCCTGGATAAATCTGGGCCCATCGAATCAGGATTTAACCAGATCAACGTGAAAAACCAGCGAGTTCTGGCAAGCCCGACATCCACAAGCCAGCTCCACTCAGAGTTCAGTGACTGGCATCTTTGGAAATGCGGCCAGTGCTTTAAGACTTTTACACAGCGGATCCTTTTACAGATGCACGTGTGCACACAGAACCCTGACAGGTAAAACGTGACTCTCACTGCTCATGGGATGTTTGCTTAGTGAGACCCACTGCTCACATATCAGCCAGCTTTCTATAACCCCCTCCAGCTACACCCCTGGGGAAACCCTGAGGGCAGAGGTTTCAGTGTTCTGCAAGGTCAGAGAGTAAGGTTGGGCACCTCTCGACTTCACTGTTATTAGAGCTGCATGGATCGGCTGGTGACTGCAGAAAGGATTATGCACTTGCTTTCTAGATAGTTCTTTCCAAGTCTGAAAGGGAGCAAAATCGGAGGAACATTTATGAATATCAGAGATGGAAAAACGAGGTCAGGATAATTAGAATCCTCTCTGTCTTCCAAAGATAATATAGCTGACTGCTCTGCTGTCACAGTGGTTTCAGGGTTCGCCTCCAGTGTGCCGTGGGTATGAACTTAATTAAGTACTAAGAGGTAATGAATTGGAATTTTTTGCTTAGTACAATTTTTCTTCAGAGCATGCAAACCCATAAATCCTGCGAAGCTGTCAAAAGGAAATACCTACTCTGCTAGTGATGTGGAGGAAAACAGATGCCACTTATTCAATAAACTAATATCCACACAGAAGAAAAATGTTGACTAGATACCTCAGAGTCAAAGTTGGTTTGAAAGTTTGTCAATAAAGAATTTTATGGCCATGAACTGAGGATGAAATTTAGCTGAACAAGTGAATTAAAATTTCAGGTACTCTGACGAGTGGCACAGTAGATATAATGGAACTATTATTTATGAATCAAAACTGGTTTATTCGACAGTCTTGATAGCTGGCAGCGCAAAAGACAAAAATCAAATTAATTCAATAAGAAAGGATTGCTGTGTTTTATCTCTCCTTCATGTCCTATGAAAATTTGATTAAAATGAAAATATCTAAGAATAGCACTGAAAATGCACTTTAAATGTAAAACAGAAAATAATATTTGAACCAAGAATAGGAGACTCAGAAGCAGGACTCCTGAATGATTTCTTATTTTTGCCACTGGTAAAACTTAAGCGATACACTCAGCTCTCCTTGGATAATAATATATACCCAGCTCTCCTTTCCCAATTCTGCAGGATCTATCAATATGCCTACAAAAGCCACACAAAGACAGGGAAGAGATGGAGGTGCAGCAGAGGAGAGTGGTGGGCATTTTCTAAATTAATAATTAATTTTAGAGAATGTGTGCACATTTATAAGGCGCTCTGGTAGCGTAGTAAATTACGAGCTGGGCTGCTGACCTCAAGGTCAGTAGTTCAAATCAACCAGTTGCTCCAAGGGAAAAGGATGAGGCTTTCTGCTCCCATAAAGAATTCCAGCCATGGAAACCCTATATAGAGTCGCTGTGGGTCGGAACCGACTTGGTGGCACGCAACCACAACCAGCAGCATGCACATTTATATGTATATATGAGTCTTGGTGTGGTGCTGTGGGTTAATGCGCCAGACTGCAAAGCCATTTGAACTGCAAGGTCGGCGGTTCAAGCTCACCAGCTGCTTCTCGGAAACCCTATACAGGGTCACTATGGGTCAGAACCAACTCAACGGCACTTAACAACATGCTGACATCTAATAGGCAGGTTCTTAATATCAAGCACTACTAAAAATAATGTTGAAGCATTTACATTTGGGTTGTTATAGCAACTGGGTCTTAATACGCTTTTACTTTCAACAGGAGAGCCTCCTGGTGAAAATATTAACAGATTTCTGTTTATTTTAGTATTATTAGCTGTAGAGGTGATACAAAAATTTTGAAAACATTTTCCTTATTTAGAAAGGTTTCAAAATGTTTGCCCTCTTTGCAAGCCTATCTTTTAAGTTTGCAAAGCATTTTAAGATATTTTTTAAATATAAAAAATACATTAAAATATGATTATTATGAACTTACTTTTATAAATTGAGTGGTATTTTAAACTTGCTTTGTAAATTGAGCAGATGGAAAGCCGTGTTATGTACAAAGGTTCATTACTGACACAATCTTAATAACTGACATGCAAGGAAAAATAAAATCATAGTTAAAAATGTCAGAATTCTTAGCTTTGAGTATGACATGAGTTCATGCTGAAAGTCATACAAAACAATGAAAATGTGGAAGATTAAGTCGATTATTTTGTCTCACTGCAGCTACACTTGTTGTTGTGTGCCTAGTCGATTCTGACTCATCTCCACCCTGTCTAACGATTTGAAGGCTGTAAATCTTTTATGGGAGCCTTATCATTCTCCTTTGGAGTGGACGGTGGATTTGAACTGCTGGCCTTGTGGTTAGTAGCCCAATGCATAACCTACTCTGCCACCAGGGCTTCTTGCTACAGTTAGGAAATCATATTTATATTATGGTTTAAGCTTCTGTTAAGTCTTCCTTATAAAATAATACTGTAAAAAAAAATGTACATGTGCAAAATACACATCTATGAGAGATTAAGTAAATGCTGATTTTAAGCTAATTTAGAATGATTGGCAAAAATTTAGGTCGCACGAGACTCCCATCCTGTGCTGGACTCTGATGGGCTTACTTTACTCAGTCGCCTAGGTGTTGTGTGGTCAGGACTTGTCAGATGAGGTGAAATAAGGGGTCCTTGTTGTAGTTGTTGTTAAGTGCTGTTGAGTCAGTTCCAACCCATAGTGACCCTGAATAGGGTTTCCAAGGAGTAGCTGGTGAGCTTGGACCACGGCCTTGTGATAACAAACTGACTTTGCAGTCCAGCACATTAACCCACATCGCCACACCAGGACTCCACGGGAGGGTACTTCTATCTGGTACATAACCAGAGTTAGAATGAATGTGAATGGGTTCATACTTATCTCTTCCCTATGCTTATTGGTAAAAACCTAAGAGGTGGTTGCTATTGTCTGTGGATGAATTAAAATTAAGAATTGTGGCTTCAAAAAATCAGGTTCCTTATAGGCAATATCATGAAACACAAAACTTCTTAGTAATGATGTCAAGGTGTTTGAACTACATTCACATCTGAGTTGATTTCTGGAGATAAAGAAATAGAAATGTCCAATCACTTTAATCCACTAACTCATTCTAGAGAACTGATTGTCTTTTAGAATATAGGACTGGAACAACTCTTCTTTGTTCCAGAGCCTAGGATGCTTACTTTTGTACCACAACGTTTGGAAGGAAAAGATAACCTAATGCAGAGAAGTACAGTGAAACAGTCAATTTGATCTGGATAATTGCTAAATTTGGAACCTAGTCTATAATCCATGTGAGGACTCATAACTGCTGAATATATATATACACACACACACACATTCACACATACCCACACGGGGCTTCAAAGAGTTCATGGGATATTTCCATTTTTCCATGAGTTTATTTAAGCCACCTCATATATTTAAGCAGTCTCCAGGTTATGAATATCTGACTTATATACAACCCATAATTATAAACTAACCGCCTTGAAGCCTATTATGTTAACAAAATTCGAGTTACATACAATGGTTCCTAATAACAAAGGGGCACTATGTTGCAATGTGCATCAAAACATTATTAATATTATCATTGTATTAATTATGTTAAAGACATTTTAGTATATCTGGAAGTTTATTTTTAATGTTTTTATACATAGAAAGTTGCAATTTATATTATATATTAAGACAAATATTCGACTAACTGCTGTTAGTTACAAACTGCATGCAACTGTTTTGACATGTATTTGTACAAGTTTGACTTAAAGACAATTTAAGAAGGGAACTTTTTTGTAATCTAAGGACTAACTATATTCTATTGTGATTGGCCCCATAAATCAGATGAATTTTAGTCTTTGACTGTTTGTACCCATTTAGCCAAAAACAGTGGAAAAAAACTCCAAACGTAACAGTCAGAAAACATTTCTCATCTGTTTGGAAAAACTCAAACACTTTTACTTTGATAGGAAAATCTTATTAGAACTAGAGGCAAAAGAGAAACACAAGCCAATGTCAGAAGACATACAGGTTAGAGTTACAAACAGGCTCTATTTGAAACAGGCCCCAGAATCATAGGTCCAAATGATTTTTTATTCAACAAACCGAATGTTTGGGCCTGAAATATCAGATATTTGAGCCTTCCTCTAAGAGACTTTGTGTGTCTATCGCTGTAAGTTTTTTCCATGTAGGGTACATCAACAAGTCTGTGTATTGATTGAAAGGCAAGCAATCTGTGGACATTCAGGGCTGTAAGAATCACCATTTTCACCACTGTGGTATTCAAATTAAATGCAGAAAGGAAATATTTGGCCTAGCAGAGTAGAAATCAACACTAAAGATTAAAAAAACAAAAAACAAAAAAACACCCAAGAGAATCCAAGAGTCACAGAATTGTTATTTCATAATTTTGATTTGTTAATATTAAACAAACCAAAACAAAAATCTCTTCTTCTTTTTACCCAGGCCACTGACTTTTTATTTTACTGAACAAATTCAAAGAGAAGAAACTGTTGGAATCTAGACTAACCAAGATTTTATTTAGGGACTTCATAAACATTTGGGTTTTTGCGTAAGTTTATTGCTTACCCACACCAGGACAGTTCAATTCACTTGTGCTTGAACCAGGAGTTAGAAATCCCTTTTCTCTTCTGTTTTTATGCTGCAGAAACTCCCAACAGTCCCATTGGGGGGGCTCCAGAAAGGGGTAAGCAAAGCCTTCAATCACAGTGGATTTCTGATGAATATGTTCACTTTTATTTTCTGCAGAAAGTGTTTTTATAATGCTTATCTTTCTTTTATTTAGTTTGCATCCTTTTTCTTTTCCTCTCTCCTTTTTGATTGTATGTGTCATGTGGGGAAATTTTGCTTTCAGCAACCCTGATATCATCAGCTGTTCATGTTTGTGTTTCAAGTATCATTGTTTGTAATTGGATGTGGTAGTAACAGTAGGGAAAGTGATTCTAGAAGGTGCTGTTTGGTGGGAGGAGCCTGGAGACAATCCATCACCATAGCAGTTTCTTTGGAATGTATCATGTTCTTGTGTTCTGCTGTGTCTTTTGTTTTGTTTTTTTTTCCCTCCAAGTGTGAAGGTT